TTGAGTCGATTTGGGTCCGATTTTGTTCAATTGAGTCAATTTTGCGAAATTGAACTCCGATTGATGCCGAATAGCGTCGAATTGGGTTCGACGACGCTCGACGAGGTTCGATTGGGTTTTAATTGATTTGATTTAATTTTAATTTAATTAAATTGATTTAATTTAATTAAATTGGAGTTTAATTTGAGTCGATTTTGTCTCGACGTCGATCGATCGAGTCGATCGAGCGCGATCGAGCCTAGTCGGGCTCGATCGGGGTCAAGTCGGTGCGAAAATATTTGTCAACATCCACGAGCAATAGTCCTCCAAAATGGATGTAATCTTCCTCACATTTGGAATAGAGGCACCTGCAAAAATTAAAATATCGTTTGCATAAAGGTGGTGGGAGACAGGAGGTCCCCCCGCACGGATTGGCACACCCAACTCTTTGAAGTTCTGATGAAAGTGGAAAACAGCAACGCAGAACAGAGAATGAACAAAAAGGGTGACAATGGGAACCCTTGGCGGAACCCACAATTTGTTGTAATCCCCTCTATTAGCTGTCTATTTATAAGGATTGAGAACTTTGGATTTTGAACACAGCTTAGCACTCAAGAACTGAACCTAGGAGGGAAACCAATACGGCTGAGAACAAGCTCCAAGGTCTTCCAACTCATCTTGTCGTATGTTTGCTCCATGTCTACTTTCAAAGCCAAAAAACCCAAAGTTGATTTGGATACTTTGAATCTATTCATCAACTCCTAACTAAGTAAGCAGTGGTTTGAAATTGAACGGTCCGGTACAAATGCTGCTTGTTCTTCAGAAATTAGCTTTGGCAACACCTCTTTGATCCTGCTAACTAGTACCTTTGCAACAATCTTATAGATTGTTTGGCAAAGGCTAATTGGCTTGAATTTGAAAGGGTGATCCAGATTCATGACTTTAGGCACTAACACTACAACCGTTTCCTTCCAAATTGGATCCATAATACCACTGGCAAAGAATTCCAAACAAGCCCTCATGACTTGCTCCCCAACTATCTCCCAAAAGAAATTGAAGAAAGAGGCTGTGACCCCATCCCTACCAGGTGCTATGTTTTGGCCAAATGAACTCGCAACATCCTATATTTTCTCTTTTGTGACCTCACCACCAAGTACTCCAGCAAATTGTGCCAAACAATTCCTTTGGGATTCAAGGGAAGGCCATCCATCTTCAACAATGCCTTGCCCATGCCATTTCTGCTAAAAGAAACCGTAAATGACATTCAAAATCTCCCTATGTTCTGTTACAACAGATCCATCAGGTTGCTTCATGGATTCAATACCATTGGCTCTCCTTCTAGCCAAAGCCATGGAATGAAACGGAGTTCTCCAACATTTGAAATGGACTTTCATGGATTCTAAAAAATCAAATTTAGCCAATGTCTAAAATGGCTTTCAAAAGAAAAGAAGACCACTAATTTAATCAAAAAATTTCTCAAGCATCAAACCATAGGGGCTTGCCCCTATGGGATGTCTGTACCCCAGAAATAAATAAACTCCATTCAATCAAACATTGAATGGGGGAATCTCTGTTTAAAATTGTAAATTTTATCATTGAGTCCATAAGGAAATGATATTTTTACCCTTCAAGGTAATACATCATCATTTTTATGTCGTACTCAATCATAAAGTATGCAATCCGTTTGAGGACAAAAATTCTCCAACAGGAAGCAATCTATGTCAAGCTTTCAAACATTACACATGTAGAATATTGTTTTATTTTTGAGAAAAAAACACAGCTAAACACAGTTACATAAATTTGATTCAAGGATCACAAATATGTTACCAAAGGATATTTCCAATTGCAAAAGAAACAGGACAAGAAAAGGTGAAGAAACAAAAACTAAAACAGGAAAACAGACAGAACAGGTGATATCTTAACAGCTTAATGTTAACCAACCTTGTATTTCAAATCCTGGCACTTCACACCAACAACTGCATGATATCCAATGACATTGTTACATCCAATGATTGTTCGGCCTGGTAAATCAGCACCAACTATTGCACCACTGTCTAACATTTCAATTTCCGCCATGAGAAAAATAAAACATAAAATCAGAAAAAGAATTCCATTTTTCAAGTAAATTGCGTACCAGTTCCAAAAGCTGTTTTAGAGATAGAAACATAAAGCTCTAGATAGTCGTACAAATTCAATAAGGGGATAATAAACCCCTAAATTTGATAATTTTTAACCAAAATAAAAACCCAGCTTTTTGGTAAAAGTTAATAATGAAGTTAGTAGCATAAAGATAATTAACTGAGTTTCGCCTCAAGGGAGTTCACCATTAGCATTAAGATAGTTAAATGTGATTCGCCTCAAGGGAGTTCAGCACCCACCCCATGCGACCTCATCATAAGATGAGAGAGAGCAACGCAACTTAAGTTATAGCAGGTGAGAATCTGCCTTACATAGAATTACTCTATTTTATGACACAGTTTGCATGAATAACCGTTGCAAGTGTCACAATTGAAACCAAGATAACACATATCAGTCAACAAAACTGTACTTTCATCGACAACTACTAAGCTTCCAAGAACTCACCTCAGTACAGTGCAATTGTCGCCTAATACAGTATTCCCAGTTACATGGCTCCCAGCGTGTAACTGGCAAGCTTTTCCAATCTGAACCTCCGGACCAACTGTACAGAAAGGACCAATAGAAACACGCTGCAAATGATAGCACAAGGATAAATAAACAAGCTGTCTTAGCATCAGATAAAACAAAACATACTTGAAACATAAATTAAGGTCAACATTGATTTTCAAACATGGTTTAAAATTGCGCAATATGAGGCTCGCCTTGAGGCCCGCCTTTGCGCAATTCTAGTAAAAAATGCCTCGATGCTTATGCCTCGAGTTTTTTTTATGAGGCTTGCACCTCAACTTGGTTGAGGCCTGCCTCGCCTCACTGGCATGAGGCTTACGCCTCTCGCTATATATATTAAAACTTACATAAATCTTGAAGTAAATGCCCGACATTGGACTCTATAGAAGAGGAGGAAGAGAGAGAGCAGTTCTTCATAATGATGATTCAAATGAATAACCCCTTAGTGATGATAGTGCTGATGACTTATGAGTTCTTATGTGATATGTCAGTGCTATTTATTTTTGGAAATTTGAATTATATGTTAATGAAAAGAATACTGGGATTTGGGAAAGATAGAATTTTGAGTTGAACTATATTTCATGTTGTCTTATTATTGGGATATTTTGATTTCATTTCATATCTTATGTTTTTTTTATGTTTTATATTATTCACTCATTAGTATATAAAAAAATTATCATTTTATCTTTACGCAATCTTTTGATTTCGAGGCTTACGCCTCAAAACGCCTTGAGGCTTACGACTCGCCTCACGAATGAAAAACGCCTCAATACCCGAATACGCAATTTTAAACATTGTTTTCAAATATGTATTATATCAGCAAATCATTAAATTCTTGTCAGTTCTGCATGTCAAAATCAGACACATACACATAAACAAAGAAAAAAGAAAGGATTTGAAATGTCATAGCGCTTGTCCTTCAGCATAGCCACTTTTATTCTCAACAAAATACACATCCTGGACACCATTAACTTGCTAGTGACACGTTTTGGGTACAAACTGGACATAATCTTGACCACTGTAATTTAGGTGGATCCCATGTCAATATTTGCTTCCTCACTCTTTATTCTCTGAGCGTACCATCCTCTTAAATACCTTTGCACAACATTGAACAAATTCTTAAGCATTATGTGTAATAACCGGTTTGGCTTGGCCGGTTCAACTGAACCGGCCAGCCTTCTATTATTAGCCGCGACCCAACAGAGGGTCGCTACAGTTCATTCGTGCGAAACAGAGAGGGCGGCGACGGCTTCGTGCGTGAGAGCAAGGTACGTTTTTCTTTTCTCCAATTTTAGCAAATGATTATCTTCAAGGGTAAGAAATAGCAATTCCTTTTCATTCTTATCATTATCAGAGTGTTATTTTGGAAGAGATTTGAGAACGAGAGAAACGGTCGAGAAAAAGAAGGAAAAAGGTATGTAGAATTTTCTTCCGGATTTTTTGTATAAATTTCTTTCGTTTACTTCGTTAAAGTGAACAATATGTTTCTTAAAGGTAGAGGAAGAGAATTGAAGCAAAGAGAAAGAAATTTGGGAAAGAACAAAGAAGGATTTTAGGTCAGAATAATTCTCTTTTGTAAGTGATTTCTTTCATACATCTCTTGTTATCTATGTTGAATAATTTTAATATTAATATCAATTGGATTACAAAGAATTTAACTAATCTTGTGTGCAAGGTGAAGGATCAAAGTTAATAAGAGAATTTCTGGGAGATCTGATTGTGACAAGTAAGATCGTTGCAAGAATTGAAATTGGAATATATTGAAGCCAAAGTTCAAAGTGGGTAATTATAATTATGAAATTCAAATTTTAGCATTATTCTTCTGCTTTCAAAGTTTTAATTTAAAGACTACAATGTATGAAATGTTGAAAGATTAACTGACTAAGTAATTGTAATTATTATTCCAATAATAAATAAATAAATTGAATAACATATGAATGAAAAGAAAATACCGTATGTATTAAAGAAATATTGAAAAGAAACGACATATGAAATAGAATAGAAATGTTATGGTAAATGTAAAATAAAGGAAAAAAGATATATATGAATATTTCAGGAGTTCACCCCCTCATGGTACTGGCTGGGGACGCGTACTCGCTTGCACGAAAAAGGGAAAGAAAAGGCTATGGAAATGGAAAAGGTAATCAAATGGAAAAGGTTGTACCTTCGGGTACTTTGAGACGGTGCTCCTGTGCAAAGCAAATGGAAAGAAAAGAAATATGAATGAAACATTAAAGCTATAAAATGTTTTAAATTGTTTTGAAGAAATTATCTAGAGAGGTATAAATTATTGAAAAGAATGAATTAATGTTAAAAAATAACACGATGCCTATTAAAGAATAATAATAATGATTATTAAATAGTTACCCACTGAGTTTATTTAGTAAACTCAAACCACGAGTTTAAATGTTTCAGGTAATTCCTAAGAAAAGAATGGCAGAAAGAGAAGAACATATTTACATAAGACGTCATGCAAATGACAACAGGTAAATTAAATTTTTGTGTTTAGTGGCTCTTCAGTTAATAGAAAAGTTTTTGATGATGAGTTATTATTATATTGATGGAAATATACTATCGTCCGACTTTTCGTACTCGCCTCGTTAGATCGAGCATCCGGGCCGGGTCGTGACATTATGACTTGCTGTAATGGTCATAAATTTTCTTCCTTTTCTTTAAAATTTGCTGCAATTTACATGATATTACTTTCTTTACAATACATACAGACAAAAGTAACCTGGCTACTATGCTTTATATGTTCTTGCATTGCGGTTTCAGTGTTGTGTCATCTTCTAGTCTATTCTTTTAGGGGTTAATAGAGAGATAAATGCATGCTGGATTTTCAAAAGTTCCAGCATAGCATGTTATTCGGATTATAATCCTGGAAGATTGAAGTAGGCGATCATGTTTTTCTTGCACAAAAAGCATGAGAAATCAGGTGCGGCAAATGCTAGTATCGACATGCCATTTACGTTGTCCCTTCCATTGCATCTTGAAATAACATAAAATAATTTATGAAACCTATTAGAAAACTCAAAATGACACATGCAATGTGACAGGTATGACATTTCCTGAACTATTATACCCTAATTAAGTCATAAATCTATCATAATTCATCAAGCTTAGGTGAAGCTTGAGCTTGCCAGAAAGGATTGATCTCATCAGATGTAACCATGATAACCTAACTGTAGAAAAAAAAGATTCTGCATCACCACCCCGCAAAGTATTGAACAGATCTGTTCAAGTTTTGGTGCAAAAATGTTGACTACCCTTATGTAAAATAGCCTGTTATGGACAAGGCTTAACAGGGAAGTAATAACGGAACTGCTATTCAGTAAGTCAAAGCTTTATTTAATCAGTAATAAAATGGAGAACTTAGTAAACCTTCATTTTATAGGAGAAACTCATAAGCTTCTACACCATTTTTATCTTTGCGTCAAACAGAATCACAATGGAAGGGAACACTAAGCGACATCACAGTCCATACAAGTAGAGTTACTTGGGAAAAAGAGACTCCAAAAGATATGAATCAAACAATTTAACGAAGTCAATAGTCAAGCGACCCAACTCCGACGCTCAACACACTCATAATCTGGAATAACTTAAAGCTATTTAAAATATTAGGCATATCTACTAAAAAGGCCGGAAGTTAATTTTCCACAGCATCAAGAATTTCACTAATTGCAACTCCCGTGGTAAAAAGTCTGGCAGTTAGGTCTTTAAGATGTTCTGCTTACCAAATCAATTCAGCTAGTTAACTGTTTGCCTTCCCAAAGCCCCACTTCCAGCTCCTTCCACATTGTGATTATGACAGTTGATAAAAAATTAAATTTAAATTAGTAATGTACTCTACATACAAATGTATTTACCTCTTCGAGAATGAAGAAACAATATTATATGCTGATGGAAATCTTAAAATATTGTTTCTTAAACTTGTTTTACATCCCGTGAGTGCAGCTAGCCCAATTGGCAAAAACCTTGAAGTTATTGTTATATAGTGATCAAATTTTATTCACATCATAAAAAAATTAAAATAGAGAGAATCTTATTCTGGAACAAATATTATTTATTATTTCCAATTTCTTCACCCTTCCTTCCTTGGGTGAGTTAAAGTACACTCGATCTTTCTCATTGGCTTTTCCTTTATGTTGTTTTACAAGTCTTTCTCCTGTATGCATTAATTTCAAAATGATATTGGAGATGAGTTCTCTTACTTTCCCATCCATCTTTACTGTCAAAGTTCTTTCTTTATCTTAACCATGATAATTGTTGAGCACAGAAAGAAATTCGATAGAAGCTTCTCCACCGATGCCACCTTCAACCATAAAACAATCATTTATAACAACATTAAGAATAATGAAAGCTTTTCCAACACATTAGTATTTTGCACAATCTAAACTGGTAAAACTATCTCTAATAAGTCCAATCAGCTATGATGTTCATTAAAGGGAGAGGAAATGATAATTACCTCACTAGTGCAACCATTCCTCCTCATAAACAATATCTAAAATTGAGGACATGGAGATCTAAAAATAACTTGGTAATATACCGGTATCATGAAAGATAAAATTGACCAAAATTTCATATTCCACATATCTGCAAAAGATTGCACTCAAATAATGAAAATACAGTCGAGTTACATTAAATCAAAGGCACCCTTAACAATATTCAATTTATCTCTCTGTCACTCAATATCATAATCAAGGCTGTGAAAACCAGACCAGCCATCGAACCAAAAGAATGAGAGATTCAAAGTTCAATGGCTTGATTAGGTTAAATCGGATTACGTAATAAATATCAAAATTATTTAGATGAGATTTAAATGAATATAATAATTATGTAACAAAATAATTTTGTGGCTAAAAATAAATAGAATTCATGCACATGCAATATATTCTATAATTTAAAATTGTAATCTCTTCAATCTTTAAATTTGACTTTAATCAAAATTTAATTTACATATAAGCATATAACTTATATTACATATTTAGTTACAATTTATACTATAAATTATATAACAAATTAATATATATATATATATATATATATTATTAAGTTTAATATT